CTGAGTGAGCATTCATTATCAGGCCATGCTGTACGTTGCAAAAATATACAGGTGACTACAGCCTATTTTAGTGACTTTACTTCATGGAGATACCTATGAATAAATATTCCCATACTCATTTGTTTGCAGTCCATGTCCTTTTTCCTTTGATATAATCTAAAGCTTTATAATTTTAGAATCATAAAACATTTTGCAGATAATTTCATTGGAGCAGGTTAACTGAAGAGAAGTATAATTTTTTTGGCCAAAAACGTAGTGTCTTTTATAAGTGGATATTAATTAATTCTCTAATAAGATTTTACATGCCAATGAAAGTATTTTCTGAAAATGTTAAAATAGAGTTGAACATTTTAAATGTTAAAATAGAGTTTAACTTAATATAGTGGGAACAGGGAACTTTAACTGTTAAACAGAATTTAGTAACAACATCAGAGGGGTTAGACATTCAAGAAAAAATACAGAAGCAGTTTTTTCTACTTAATCTCAGGATGTTTCTGCAAATGTTTAGAGGCACTTCTGCTGTGGACACCTTCTGCTCTTACCCTTACCCTCATTTTTGGCAGCAAGACATGAGAATGGTATTCACTGGTTTATTCTTGTGATGCGGTGAAAACCAGTTGTCAGCTTTCTAAGTTTGGCATGCAGAACAAGTACTAATATTCTGGGATGCTGTGGTATGACAGTGGCATTCAGCTGGTTCTGACAGGGCGGCAGTAGCATGGCTTCCAGGGGGACACATTTGTCAGAGGCTAATGCAGCTGTTCCCCATTTTGACTTGACCATAACTACCTCGTAAAACAGCATGACCTCTGCTCACTGAGACTGTAGATTTGAGAGTGTTGTTTGCCTATAGATTCCTTCTTGAAACAGGAGGGGACTGGAGAAAATGGTAGGAGCAGGCTGTGGTTTACTTAGCTGTTATAATGGGCTGCGTATTGCCATGGCCCAAAGGCTGGATATCACTACTTTTCAGTTACTGCAAAACTGCAAAAAAGAGGGGCAAGAGCCAACCTGCAAGGTGCTGGGGAGTGGAGAGAGGGCAGTTCGCTCCAGAATAGAGGTATGTGGTGCTTTGTGTGTGGTTAACTATGCTTTTTCACTTGAATGAAAGCATATTGGTGGAAGCAGGACTGCTGCAGAGGCATTTTCCTAGGCAGGACAAAAATTTGGCAGAGAAGACTCAGCTGGTGATGTGATTACGACCAAGAAAACCCACCTTTCTTTTAATGTACATCTGTGAGATCTCACTGCTTACCATATGCAGAGTTTAAGACTTTTTGCAATAATAACTCAGGTTTGTGACTCCCACTGATGTGCAAATGCTCTCTGAACATTAACAATCTGTGTCTGTAATGAAAGCAAGTGCCTTTCCTCCTGCCCTATGTAATTACAGAGGTTACATCCTTTCCAGGGAGTCCAAGTGTGTGTCTGTGTGTGAGCTGAAATTAAAACAAGCCTGAGTTTGATAACTCTGTTGATAATATTAGGTCTTGGCTGTGTTAAGATCAGATTATGAAAAGATCAGAAAACAGCTGTTCCTCTGTGGGAGAGATCATCTGATGGTCGTGGGCTAGCCTGGGACATCTGCTCCCACTAGGTTTTCTGTTTAATCTCTGCCTGGTCACTTTATCTCTTTCACTTCATTTGAACTAGAACATCTTAAGTACTCATCACCTTTTCAAACTCATAGTTGTGAGTTTACCCTGGACCCCCCAGTAAGGTGGGTTTTCCTGTCTTTTTCTGCCACACTCTGGTTTTCTTGGAAATGAAACTGTGGTGTGGGATATGATAAGAAACACAAGACCTATAACCAGGTCCTTTGTGCAGTGATGCAGCTGAGGGGGCAGGACCTCAGGAAATGTATCTCCACTATTTTTTATGCTTCTGCTTGTGATCTGTAAAACAGGGGTAACAGTACTACTAGTTCCAAAGACTGCATAATGACAAGGAAAAGACAGTAAGGGTAGCTTGGCTTCATAGATCAATGATGACAGTAATTTTTGGTTGATTGGTTCTGACCAGCCATCTGAGAGAAATTAGACTGTAACACAAGAGTACTTGTATTCCTCAAGCCTAACAACAGAGACATACAGAAGACTATAAGAAAGGTGGAAGCATATATAACACCTCCCCGTTCTTCTATCCCACATCAGTTTGCGGCTTGGGGATGTTCTGATATAGAGGTGTTTTCTAGGAGGACTTGGTGGCTTTTTTTTCTGTGCTTTTACCCAGTTTTGGAACCCATGGATACTGAAGACTTGATGATACACTGAGTAGCTGAAGTTCAAGAGCAAATAGGCTTCTGATTGCAGCAGTCAAGGAATTAGTGTAGACCCCCACCAGTGTTTCCAGTAGTTTCTACCAGCTCCACAGAACGTTAAAAAGAGCTTTGGTCTCTATTCAGCAAGATCAGCAAAGTGAGACAAAGCAAACATCTGGGAACTGTTACATGGGAAACTCCCCACATTTATGCCATGCTACATGATACGCCACCAATATTTGAGTGGTCTTGTAGGAGGAGAATAATCCATTACTACTACTTCAGCCTGGATTCACCAAAGTAGAGGTAGCTCTCCTGATGTGGCTGCAGGAAAACCTGACCCATTCTTTTTTAATGTTTCCCACCTGCCGTGTGAAGTAGCACACAACAAACCAGTGCAGGAATGCAGTGTTTCTGGGGTACTGTTTTCGTAATGTAAGTTGGGGGAATCTTTAATTCAGCATGGGTTTTATAACTGTTCGCTGTAGATAGGGCAATTTCCTTTGCAGATTAAGGAAAGATGCTGTAACATAAATGACTGACTGGGTGTCACTGCTGTGTTGTGACAGGCTATCCTTTAAGAAGAAGTGATTGATGACATTTATAAAACTGAGCCATTATATGTGCTGTTTATATTGAAATAGAACTTAGGATGTGGGCTGTCAGTCAAAGCAATCATTACTTACACAGTTCTATAACAAGTGGTGGTGGTGGGTGCAGTGAACAAAATACCAGAGTAAATGTTTGTTTTGGAGCTTTGAACAGGGCTGTCTCTTTTTTTCAGCTTGCATCTAGCCACACTAAGAGGATCTATTATGTACACTGCCTAGAGCATGAGGCTTCACTGTAGGCTTTGAAGAGCTCTTTGATACTGACATCAGTATTAAAATGAGTTTCTGAATCAGGCAGGTGACCTTTCTTGCTCCTCTGGAGCACAGTTCAAGAAAACCTCAGTCCTTTGTAGCAGCATTTTCTCCTGCCTGCAGAAGCCCCCAAAGGCCTCAGTAGCAGATGCCCACTTCTCTGTGCTTTGCAGAGGATTTGAGAAACCTCTCTTAGTGGGTGAGTGGTGTGGATGCAGGATGCCTCTCTCTGAAAGCACAGGGCCTGATCATGAGGATTATAAGCTCAGTCCTGCTTCTATCCTGCTGGGAAGTCCTGGGGCAAGTCATTCCCTGTGTCTCTCTCTGCAGATATGGTATGGAGGTGATGGGGTGAACTTTCCTGAGAGGCAGTCTGTAGATTGGTGGAAGGAGAAGCCGCCCAGCTCTGCACCAGTGTTTCTGCACCACATGGAAAACTGCAGGGAGGGTAGGGAAGGAGAGACTGCCTTCCTTTCCCTGCTGCCCTCTCCCCTGCTAATAGGCTTGCAGGGAAGAGAGGAGCAAGTGTCTAAACACTGGTGCAAAGCCATGGGTGTGCTACACAGCCTGATGTAAGCTTTACCTGATTGACAGAGAGGCAATGGGAACTTCACCTGGTCTCATATCACTTTGTGTGTGTATCTCAGGTGGGAGACACCTGGTGAGGGTTGCTATGGCACTGCTAAAAGGATGGCAGAATGTATGGGTTTTGCAATGAGACCAAATAGAAAAGAGCTTGGAGTTTTTCCCCTCTTCTGCTTGTTAAGTGGAAGAGAGACAAAAGTGTTCTACGTACAATTCCAGAAAATATTTAAATAATTGAATTTTTCCTTCTTTGCATTTGTTTTTAATTTTCTAAAACCATAAAGATTTATCACATTCAGAATGACAGTTCCACCTGTATGCTTTGAGCTCCATTCTCGTTCAAACAGATAGTTTGCACATGCCAAGAAAACAGTCCTTAAAAACACGCATAGCTTTAAAGCTTTTCCTTTTTATGCTTCTCTTATGATCAGCCAGAAAATCAGCTGTCAGTAACAGCTATCATAGAGGTAGCATCTGAATATTGTGTTTTGATATGTTGTTGATTGTAAGGATCTATGAGGATAACCTGTTAAATATAAAATTTTTTCTAGAATTTGATTTTTCTGCAAAATGAAAAGGCAATTGTACTTTTTCTGTCAAGACACAATCTGATGACATAGAGAGGCTGTGTAATCATGGGTTTTTTCCATGTTTTCTGATGTGAACATATTGACTATATTTTCTTTATTCTTGTACATTTGTAAATTGCACATTGTTCTGTAGCAATTTTACCTGTCATTTCTCTTGGATGTGCTGCCTTTTTTTGTACTGTACATTCTGGCTATATTTATTTCACTCTTTAAAAATGTGTCTGATTAAAGATAAATATTACCATCATAAATATGATGCTTTAGCTCTTTTTTTTTTCCTAGGGGAAAAACATGTAACCAGTACAACCTCTCGTTTCACAAATGAGACAATTCAAAGTGGGCTTATTCCTGAGTCTGGGCCTTGCACACAGCATTGGGATCCACGGAAAATCCTTCCACTTTGCCTTAGTTGTAAAAAGCCTATTGTCTTTAATCTCAGTGCTTTTCATAAATCTCCATGCACAAAACTGTGCCCCAGTGTCATGAGGAGCTCACTTAGTTTTGTATCATATAGTATGTCATTTGTTAAACTGAAGTTGGCTTTTCAGTCATGTGACAGGTATGTAAAGATGTTTACCAGTGCTCTTTGTGAACTTGATTTTGAGTTTTTTCCTTTTTGAGGAAATTTGTTTTAGGAAAAAGTGCATCACATAAACTCACTGCTTCTACTTTCTCTTTTCTGTCCCATTCTTCCTCTTCCAGACCAGGATGAGAGAGCAGCAGAGCTCAGCAGGGAGCAGAATGAGAAGACCATTCGCAGCACGCAGACCGCTCTCCGCAATTTCCGAGAATTCCTCATTTCCAAGTACCCCTCTGAGACCCGTGAGATCTATGTCATCCCCTGCAAAGAGCTTGATGCCTATCTTGCGTCATTCTTTGTGGATGCCAGACAAAAGGATGGGTCTGAATATGAGCCAAACAGTCTGGCCAACTATCAGTGTGGACTGGAGCGGTATCTCAAAGAGCACAGGTATGGATACAGTATTACAAGGGATAAGGAGTTCAAGAGGTCCCAGGAAGCTCTAAAGCAAAAGCAGATAGAGCTGAGGTGTAAAGGCAAAGGAAATAAGCCACACAAATCCATGAAGCTTACCTTTGCTGATGAGCTTATCCTGCGCAAAAGAGGCTTATTGAGCAGGTACAATCCTGAAGGGCTTCTGAACCTAGTATGGCTGAACAACACTAAGGCATTTGGACACTGCACAGGTTTCCACGGGTCCACCCTCAAGTGGGGAGACATCCGGCTGCGAGTGACAGAGACTGGGTTGGAGTACCTGGAGTGGATGGGGCCAGACAACGGGGATGTGAGTACCAAGAGCAAGAGAGGCGGGACGGACTCGCGGGTGTACGCCACCCAGCACTCCCCGCAGACCTGCCCCGTGCAGGACTACAAGGAGTACGCGCAGCGGCGCCCTCCGGCCATGCGCTACGAGGATGCGCCTTTTTACCTGTCCATCAAACCCGTTGTCAACTTGGCTGCACTTCACTGGTACAACTGCCAAGCCCTGGGGAAAAACAAGCTTGCCAAGATGGTGAAGACAATGTGTGAGAAAGGGAACATCCCTGGCCGCAAGACCAACTTCAGTGTCTACCAGAGCTGCAGCACCCTCTCAGAAGCTCAGAGCAACCAGCTGGTGCTGATCTGCAATAACTTGAGCCAGCAGGCTGCCCAGTCCATGGCAAGCCACTCCAATACTGGCAACTTCATAGTGTCAGCATCCTATGACTCGTCATCTGACACTGCTTGAATGAACACCAAATACTTTTTTCTTTTCCTTTTTGTTTCAAGCATTGAATTTGTGCTCAATAATACACATCAGCTGTGATTGTACACTATTCCCCCTCTCAGCCCTCTCTCCAGTGTTAATCACTTTATAAGAATATATAAACATATAATATATTTTTCTTTCTACAAATAAGTCAACAGAAATAGTTTAGTATTACTAACAGTATTTATAGTGTTAATGCAAAAATGAAAGGTACTTATGGGTTATAATACAAATGCAGATTTTAAAAGGATAGAAATGGTTCTCAGGCAACACAAGATAGACTGAAAATACCATTTTTAACATGCACACATTAATGAGTGTAAATCCCCAGGGAGGCTTACATAGCAATTCTGTTCTAAAGCATTTTTTCAACTTAGTATTGTAACGTGACCTCCCACAGTGGAGGAGACAAACTTAACATTGGCTGCAGCTTCTTACCTGCTAGCTTATTCTTGATCAGCAAGACCAAGAAATAAGAAATGCATCAATGTAAGTTCACAAAACCATTTACAGCATTTTTGTCTGTTTTTATTATGTTTCCTGAGGCTCATTTACACTACAAAAATCCTGAAGTCAGCTAAATGCCATTTTAAACTTTTGGGTATGTTGATTTTCTGGGATCAAAATGTTGTTGTTGTTTAGGCTAAAAAGTATTGTTTTCAACAGTATGCAAAAGTATAATGGCAAAACCATTGTCACACATAATTTCACCTCTTTAAGTATAGGTTGTTAGTATTTTATCAATGTGTGTATGTAATATAAAATCTGTTGACATAGAGCACTCTTTCAGTATTCTGGGAAAACGAACAGTACAGAAAAATCTGCAGTCTTATCCCAGCTGTACAGAAAAATGACATCAACTATGTCTTAAGCCATCATTTGAAATCCACAAAACAATAGAGAGTGTAATGATATTTCTACAGAAATTTTTAAAGAAATTCTACAGAGAGGTAAAAAGCTGGATAGTTTTAAGTGTTGGAATACCAATTTAACTTAGCTATACATCATCTGTTTCCATTGCAGACAATGGAAAATGTGCATGTGAATCTGAAGGCAGAATTTGGACCTTAAAGCCTTGAAATAACAAGTTCTACTGTTCTACTTTTTAATGTAGTTGTTCTACTACAAGTATGGGAAAAACACTAAGAAATTTGCTGTTTCAGTGAACAGTTATAATTCTTGACACTTAAAATTAGGAACAGTGCTTTTCAAGGAAATAAACTTAGTTTAAGTTCCACAAGGATGTGCTAGGGCTGTGGTGAGGCTTTAGAAAAGTCTGCTGGGGTAATTGAGTTCCTGCTGAAGTCAATGAAAGACAACCTTGGCCGACTTTTGCTGGGTATTGGACCAAACAGCCTTTCAAGAGGCTTTCTTGTTTAGCAATTTTTAATTGTTGTGTTTCTTTATGCTTGTTTGTCTGTATTTCTTCACATTCCTGCATATCCTTCAAATTCTTTAGATCTGCAACTGTGCAATGACTTTAATCATCACTAATTCCAAAGAAGAGGTGAAAGAAAGGTAGCAAATAGAAATACAAGTAATCCACCTAGCACCTCTAAACTTTTTTTTCTGTGTTCCTAGGATGAAATGTTCCTGTGTGAGAGGGAGGTGGCAGAGTGTCTGCTCCTCACTTAAGCCTTACTGAAGGTATGTTTTGGGGATGAAATAGGTAGCAGATGTGGAACTGAAAAGCCTAAGGGCAGAAATTTCTACTATAACAAATATCTGTCCTCCCAGGGAGCTTTATGCAGGGGACACAACCTGGCTGTAATCTCTTTTTTTTCCACATGTAGCAAGGCTGGTAAAAGGTCTGGTTTCCTGTGTCTGACACTCCATGGTAGTGTAGCCACCAGTTCTACAGTCTTCCATTTACCATCTGCTGTCTCTCAGGGTAGGCAGTGGATTGGTGGGCACAAGCAATTGTTCATATTATAGAGCCCTCCTTTTGTAACTTAGCTTTGGGACTTGACGCCAAATTATAACTGTACTGAAGTGATTGCAAGCTGTGTCTGTGACTTTCAGTGCCATGGCATATCTGACTTTTTGGTGAAGGAGACAGAAGCACAGAGAGATTTCAGGTGAAGGCAGAAAGACAGCTGCCCAGTTTCTAGATGAGGCCAGATATCTGGTTGCTGTTTGTACTGCCTTGACTTTTCACAGCAGTGCTTTTAGTATGATACAGTGAAAAATAGTTTTGCAAGACCACTCTTGTTCTGGGATTTCTTTACTGTTTTCCATTGAGGACTCGTGCAGTGGTGCTTAGTGTGTGCTGTAGCGTGAGCATTCCATGCCAAGGACCTCTCTCAAAGTGCCCGGTGAGAGCTCAGCCATGGAGCTGACCTCTAGGGAAGTCTGGTTTCTCTTTCTCCCCACTGGTACTCATCTCAACACTTCCCTGTGACAGCTATTGCAGTATCTGACATAGTTCCCTACATTTCCTTTCCTGTTCTGCAGTGAGGGGATGGGTATCAGCTGGCCTTTGTGGGGCAGCAGATCTCTGTTTCCCACCTCTCCTCCCCTGCCCAGCCCACCCCTTTGCTCTGAGGAGGCCAGTCACTGGCAGTACATGTGCTGTGCTGCAAGCAGCACTTTGAAGTGTTGCTTCACATCAGTGCTGTAATTCAGCTTCAACACAGATCTCAGAAGAAAGAAGACTGGCGCTCCTGGGTTTTAAACTGAGAGGTTTAAAGAAGTATTTCCCATGACTTTTTGACTCTACATGCTGCCTAAATTGTTGATTACCACAGTATTAGGGTGGTTTGTGCTGATGTCCAGCAGCAGTGAGGCAGCATCTCTGGTCCCCTTGACTTAGTTGGGCACATGAGCAACCTTTGCTTGTCTGGTTAGGGGATAAGCATTGGCGTGTGTGTGCTTATTGTGATAGCCTCAATATTATCACGAGGGAAGCCAGGCCCCAACTGGAATTAAATCTGGCCAAGGACTTTAAGGACAACAAGAAGGATGTCTGCAAATACATCAATAACAAGAGGAAAAGGAAGGATAATATGGGCCTGTTACTAAGTGAAGGAGGGATCCTGGTAACAGAGGACATAGAGAAGGCAGAATTACTGAGTGCTGCCTTTGCAATGGTCTTCACTGGCAACACCAGCCCTCAGGGATGTCTGACCCAGGAGATCAGGATAAAGGAATGTTGTAAGGGAGACTTTCCCTTGGTCAAAGAGGGAAAGGTGTTGGAGAACACCTAGACATCTGCAAGTCCATGGACCCTGATGGGATGCATCCACAAGTGCTTAGAGACTTGGTGGACACCATACCTGAGGCTGCTCATGATCACCTTTGAAAGGTCATGGAGAGGTGCCTGCAGATCAAATATTACCCCAGTGTTCAAAAGGAAAAAAGGGGAGCCCAGGAAATTACTGGCCAATTAGCCACACCCCAATCCCTGGAAAGGTGAGGAAGTGCCTCATTCTGGAGACCACCTCTGTCCACAGGAGAAGGTGATCAGGATAGTCAGCATGGATTCACTAAAAGTAAATCATGCTTGACCAACCTGATTTGCCTTTTACCATTAAACAACTGTGTGGATGGATGAAGGGAGAGCAGCAATCTTGTCTATCTCAGCTTCAGTGAGGCTTTCTCTTATAGGCAAACTCAGGAAGAATAGACTGAATGGGAAGACAGGGAGGTGGATTGAGAACTGGCTGAGCAACAGATCCCAGAGTCATAATCAATGGCACAAGCTCTAGTTGGAGGCTTGTTCCTAGTTGTGTCTCCCAAGGTACAGTAGTGGGTCCAGTCTTGTTTAATTTACCCATCAATGGCTTGGATGAAGGGCAGAGGCCTCCTCAGCAATTTCACTGACAACACAAAGCTGGCAGCAGTGGCCGATAGCCCAGAGGGCTGTGCAGCCCTTCAGAAGGACCTCAGAGCCTGGAGAGATGGGCACAGAGGAACCTTCTGAAATTCAGCCAAGGCAAGGGCAGGGTCCTGCAGCTGGGGAGGGACAACCCCAGGCACCAGCACAGCCTGGGGGTGACCTGCTGGGAAGCAGCTCTGTGGAGAAGGAGCTGGGGGTCCTGTGGACAACAAGCTCTCCGTGAGCCAGCAGTGCCCTGGTGGCCAAGAAGGCGGTGACATCCTGGGCTGCATCATGAAGAGCAGTGCCAGCAGGCTGAGGCAAGTGACCCGGCCCCTCTACTCAGCCCTGGAGAGGCCTCACCTGGAATGCTGTGTCCAGCTCTGGGCTCCTCAGTACAAGAAAGGCATGGAACTCCTCCATCAGGTCCAGTGGAAGCCAACAAAGATGATTAAGGCACTGGGACATCTCTCTAATCACACACAGGAACAGATTGCCCAGAGAAGACCCACCTTCACTGGAGATAAACAAGAATTGTACAAAAACAATCCTGTGCTGTGTGCTTTAGGATGACCCTGCTTGAACAGGGAGCTTGGAACATATGACACACTGTGGTTCCTTCCAACCTTACCCATACTCTGATTCTGTGATTATAGGAATAGTTTTGTTCTGCTTTGTGATTATCTGTAGTAACTCCAGCAGTGATGATGGCAGATTGCCTGGTAAGTTCTGGTGGGCCAGCCCCACACAGACTACTTGTTGAAGAAGTTAATGGACAGAATAGGAATATGGACAGAATATGATACCCATGTAATATAGTACAAAATTAAACTTACTAGTTTTGAAGGGCATTTAATATAACCTATTATTCAGTCTTATTTGTGGACAGTTAAAGGAATTGAGTGACCACAGTTTGTCTAATTGCCATTTGTATTAAGACTGTGAAAGTCTTAATTAACTGTCTGGGAGAGAGACTTTGGGTTTAAGCTACTCTCATGGTTTTGTCTAATACTGGTAGGAGAGTACATGTAGATCTCGTTATTTTAGGTGAGAGAGGACAACTCAGTTATTTGCAGTTTTGACTGAGGGTATCACACCTGCTTTTGCAGCAAGTTGCAAGCTCATAGCAATGGTGTGCACCCTCCCTGGTGCTAAGATACAG